ATTTACAAGTAAAGTTTAAGGCTACAATCCAATATATTCTTAGTTGGGAATAGGTTTCACTAAACTCTACGAGGCTCCATGAGATATGAATAGTTGTCAGAATATAAAGTATGTATAGTCATAAAGATAATCTGGTTTGCTGTTTTCTTTCAAGATTTTAAACAGCATTATGCTATTGAAGTAACAGAACCACAAAGCACATTATTCAAACCTCACCATCTCTCTAAAATGGGTGCAAATTCTCAACTCACACAAGTCATTAGATTTTCACACTCCTATATCCAAATCACCAACAGGAACCTGGCTGTGTTACATTTTCAGCTAAAGATTATGTGCTTTTAGGCTACCCTGAAAACATAAAATGTCCTTAAGGCTGGATTAGAGCTAATCCAGTACTAAATTGAAAGTGGGGCTGAGCTTGTGGGAATTATTGCAAGCAAGAGTGATAGCAGTTAGCCAAGGATTGTTCCATCACAACTACTCTTGTGGGTCAATGTTCACTGATTCTCCTTGGTGATATCATCATCATCATCATCACCATCATCATCCATCATCATCTTCTGGCCCTCCAGCTCAAGTCACCTGAAATATTATCACTCAGTATAAGAAATCATATAAATCATTGTATTGATTTATCTTGTTATTTTAATTATTCTACTAGTTTAATCCAACTTTTATGGGGTGGGTGGTTAGGGATGGGGGGGACGGAATTGTTTTAACTGCTGTCTTGTTTTAACTTTGTACGCTGCCTTGATTGTCTTGCAGAGGGGTGGGTTAAAAATAAAATTTATTATTATTATTATTATTATTATTATTATTATTATTATTATTATTATTAGAATTTCTGCACATCCCGTAAATCGTACGGATGTGCATTGAATAACTTCACTGCTGGCCACACCCTTAGGCTTCCCTCTTGATACAAACAGCAACTAAACTATGTTAGGTTAGTAATTCAGGATACCATGTATCCTTCTGCCAATTTTTAATCTGAAACAAATAATGGACTGATTGATTGACAGGTTGACAGTACTCTCAAGATACCTTTTATTTTATTAGCTGCTAATATGGCACAGTTGATATCTCTTGTAAAATGATTCTACGAAGCTAAATTCCTTCCATCTTTGTTTTTTGTGACGTGCATTTCTTGACTCACCAAGGCTGCAATCCTACACACCTTTGCTATGAAATAAATCCCATTAAACAGTGGGATGTCCCTCCAAGGAAACATACTGGAAGCCATGTACTGTCACAACTCACTATTCATTCCCATGTCCACTGATTCATACTATTTATTTAAAGACACTTCTCCAAATGTGTGTGAGAGAGATCAGTAGCTAGACATCGAGCACACAATTCCCTTAAAAAAAGAAAAAGAAAAAGAGGTTTACTATATTATTTAAAATTATTTTTAACCCAAAATACGTGAACAGTACATAACAAGAAATGAGAGAGTGGGCAAATCAACTCCCTTCCTTTTATTGCAGCTTTGCTGAGACTGAAATCAACTTTCCATTCCAACAATCAAAATATCTATACAGTATGAGGCTGAGCCATTCAAGCATCATCTATGAAGAGGAAAGGAAAGGGGGGAAAGAGCAGTGTGCCATTAACACAAATTCCCAAATTGCTCATGCATACATCTGTCCTGCTATGTGTGTATGTGCGTGTGCACACACACACACACACACTTTCATTTGCTTTCCCTCATGCAATCACTTTTGTTGCAAAAACTAACCACTCTCCTCTGCCTTTCTCACAGCCTTCTGCCTGCATCCAGCAATGGGGGCAGGAAAAAAAAGTGGCACAGTCCAGCAGCCATTACAGAGACAGCGCCGCAAAGCCTACACTCCTGAGTGCAAGGTTACCTTTCTCAAAATGAGCAAGAGTGGAAAGGAGGGAGAGGCCAGGACACCAAGGCTACATGGGAGCTGCAACGGACTGCACAAATCTGCAGCATTGCAAAGGAAAAAGAAAACAATTCTTCTTCTCTCCCCCCCCCCCCCACCACCATGCAATGATTTATATGATTTCTTATACTTGCACGGTGCTTATCATTACACCAAGTGGCCAGAGAAAGAAAGTGAGAGGGAGGGAGATCCTGCTCCCACTCCGCCAAGAGTATGCAAGCCCTTAAAATGGTTGATGAGGGGGAACACAATGGGAGTCCCTTCGCTCCCACATGGACGAAGGAGGTGGACTCACCCTATAGACACCATCCTGTTTAGTCTCACCGTTGGGGAACCCCAAGTTGCAAACAAAATCCCTTTCTTCAGTCTGACAAGCATTTATCAACCAAAGTTTTAAAGCGATCCTTCCCAATTTTATGGCAGCAAAAGGATGGGAACCCAAAGGGAGAGGGAAGAAGGGAGGCTTCTGGAAACAAAACTGGGGGAAGGATCAAAGCCATGCCCCCATCACAAAGCCTCATTAACCTGCCCATGGCTTGGAATCAAACCTTATGGATAGCAGGAATGAGAAGAAGAGCGAACAGTTATTTGACTCTCCTGCCCACATGAAAATCATTTCGCATTCGCTGCCAACAGAATGTCACAAGACATCCCTAGGGGGTAATGAAGCAAGGCCTGCTTTGCCTTGGTCTGTGGCTTATTATAAGGCCGCTTTTGTTGGAGGAGGATGTAACTTGGGGGGTGCGGGGAGAGATCGGCTTGGAAACTGCAGAGAGGAGAGACAGTTTTGAGGTTTAGGTTTGGGAAAGTGGGAGGTTTAACTTTCCACACCCAGTAAAAGCTGGAGAAAAGCTGATCGCTGAAACGAACCCTTGCTCATCCACACAAGATTGGTCTTGCAAGGCTCCATAGTTTGTCAAGGCAGGGTGAGAGGAGGAGAAGGAGGAGGAGAAAAAGAAGAAAATGGTGGGAGAGAAAAAATGAATCTCTGGCCTCCTGGCCACACAACGACAAGCTGAAATGTTACAGAGAACAGCTAAGAGAACTATACTCCACAGTTATCGTGACTTGGCATCACATTTCACCAAAACTCATTAAACTCTTCTCCCTTCAGCTCCAGAGTAAAAATGTCTGTAACTTGGCACACTAAATCTCAACTAAGACCATTTCCACAGCTGACTGAAAACTGATTCGGGTTAGTGAAATGCAGAAGTGTGCTCCCAAAAACTGTAAAGCTGTGTTGGATTGTTCCTGATGACATCCCAGTGAAGCAGGTCAACAGAGTCAGTGTGTGTGTATACGCCTTTTGGTGCTTTACTCCTAGACAGACTGTGGTATATAGATTATTACAATCTTGAGCAAAGATTCTCAGTTCACAGCTGAAACATGGAGGTTCACTCTGGAGGTACCTCTTCTCTGAAAATATGCTAGAACATCTTGGATCCTGCAACTACATATGCTCACAAGGAAAATATCACAAGGCATGGCTGATCCTTCTTCAGTAAATGTTTTGTGGAGCCATACCCAAAAAAGCCCACAAGTGACCAAGATGTAAAACCAGGCCTGGTGCTTCCTTTTAAGTTGTATGAAGATTTAAGGAAGAGACACATGGATAGGAACCTCCTTGTAAGCCACACTGATGTCTGCAAATGTAATCAGGAAGCTCCTGGGAGAGAATGAAGACCCCTTGTCCAGTTGACAGGAAAAGGTCCCTGACAAATTATGTTACCATCTTGAAGCAAAGACAGCCTGAAATTCATTTTGATGGTGGAGGAAAAATGCCCTAAAGGCACCAGGTCTCATCTGATCTTGGAAGCTAAGCAAGGTTAGTTTTTTGTGGGTTTTTCAGGCTGTGTGGCCATGTTCTAGAAGAGTTTCTTTCTGACATTTTGCCAGCATCTGTGGCTGGCATCTTCAGAGAGAAAAAAAAATTTTCTCTGAAAATGCCAGCCACAGATGCTGGCGAAACATCAGAAAGAAACTCTTCTAGAACATGGCCACACAGCCTGAAAAACCCACAAAAAACTATGGATGCCGGCCATGAAAGCCTACGACTTCACATTAAGCAAGGTTAGCCCTGCTTAGGACTTGGATGGGAGACCACCAAGGAACACCAGATACTGTAGGCTGTATTTCAGAAGAAAGACCTGGTGAAACCACCTCTGAGCATTCCTTGCCTAGGAAAGCCCTATGAAATGAATGGGATCACCATAAGTTGACAGGTGACACAAAATCCCCATACTCTGACAACCATGTATAAGTCACACATCCTCCATTTTCTTCTCTCCTTTATATGGCCTCCCATGTGGTTGGCATCCATGAACTCCACAAGGCAGAGATTTGTCCCCTCATGCCTCACAAAGTGCCTGCCATATTGATATAATAAACCTCACCACTATCATAAAACTTTTCTTCAGTAAGCACCTAGTGGTCAATGCAAAGGATTTAAGCCTACCCAACCCAACAAGAACCTGTAAGATTATACAGGTTCTAATTTATTACATGATTTTCAAATCTTGGGACTCTCAGATCAGCAACAAATTGTCTGAAGGGATGAGAAGCTTCCTCATGAGTAAGGAGAGCTGGCATCTCCAACCAAAGGAAGATATTCTGTATTGTCCCAAAGGAGCTGGGTCAGTCTTACTTACACTGACTGGCAGCAACACTCTGATGCGGAGCCTGCCCTCCCTGGATTGAAACCTGGGACTTTCTGGGTGCAAAGCATGTGCTCTTCCAAGGAACTAAGTCTGCCAAAGGATTATCAAATGGAAGGGAGGCCTTTTCCACGCTTTCTTGCAACTTACTTTGTTACAGTGCTCAATGCTTGGAGATCTAGGAGCCAGAGAAGTAGGTAAGAAGGTGGGTAGTTGATAGATAAGATGATAAATGATAAATAAACAGATAGATGGTAGTTTGTTGCTGTTGTTGTTGTTGTTGTTGTGTGCCTTCGAGTCATTTCCAATTTATGGTGACCCTAAGGCAAATCTCTCACAGGGTTTTCTAGGCAAGATTTGTTCAGAGGTGGTTTGCCATTGCCATCCTCTGAGACTGAGAGACTGTGACTTGCCCAAGGTCACCCAGTAGATTTCACAGCAGAGCAGGGATTCAAACCCTGGTTTCCAGAGTCATAGTCTGATGCCCAAACCACTACACCATGGTGATAGATAGATAGAGAGATAGATAGATAAGAAAATGAATGAGCCAACTGGTGTAAAGGTTTGAGAACTGGACTATTAACTCTGGAGACCAGGGTTTGAATCCCCACATAGCCAAGTCACACTCTCTCAGCCTCAGGATGGCAATGGGAAATCAGCTCTGAACAAATCTTGCCCAAAAAACCCCAGGGGCTGTCATAAGTCAGAAATGACTTGAAGATGCACAGCAACAATAACAACGGATGGTAGCTAGATAAAGAAAAACAAATAGAAGATAGATAGATGGTGATGATAAATGAGAGAGAGAGAGAGAGAGAGAGGATTGATTGATTGATTGATGATAAATGATAGATAGATAGATAGATAGATAGATAGATAGATAGATAGATAGATAGATAGATAGATACTGGATGGGTAGATGATGGATAGGTAGATGATAAATGATAACTGACAGATGACAGATAAATAGGTATGATAGATAGATAGATAGATAGATAGATAGATAGATAGATAGATAGATGCTTGATGTATAGATAGATAATGATAGATGATAGCTAGAAGGTGATGATAAATGGTATATAGATGATGGTGGTGGTGCTAAAAGATGATGGTGATAGGTAATAGATGATAGTTATAGTTTGATAGATGATAGATAAAGATAGATGACAGATGAGAGATGAAATGATGATAGTAAATGATAGATGGATGAGATGATGGTGATAGATGATAGTTACAGTTATATGATAGATGAGATTATAATGATAGATGGGTGAGATGATGATCATAAATGATTGATAGATAATAGTTAGATGATAGATGATAATTATAAATGATAGAGAGATGATGATAGATAGATGATAGGTGAGATGATGATCATAAATGATATAGATTAGATAGATAATAGATGATAGATGAAATGATAATAAGTGAGATGATCAAATGATAGAAAGATGATGGTGATAGAAAGACAGACAGACAGACAGATAGATGATAGTTATAGTTAGATGATAAATGAGATTATAATGATAAATGATAGACAGATAGACAGATGATAAGTTATAGTTAAATGATAGATGATAGTTATAGTTAGATGATAGATGAGATTAAAATGATAAATGATAGACAGATTGATGATATTTATAGTTAGATGATAGATGAGATAGATAATGATAAAATATAGATAGATAGATGATATTTATAGTTAGATGATAGATGAGATGATAAATGATATAGATAGGTGAGATGATGATCATAAATGATAGACAGATGATAGTTATCGTTAGATGATCGATGAAATGATAAGATAAATGATAAGATAGGTGAGCTGGTTATCATAAAGATAATCATATAGATAGAGATGATGGTGATGATGGATGATGATGATCAATAAAGAGACAAGCAAGTCCAACCTTGCAAAGGGAGCTGGGCTCCCTCCCTTAGCCCTGCATCCCCTTCCGTCTCCCCCTCCGGAAAGAAAGGCGAGAAGAGAAGAGAAGGGGAAAAGGGGGAACCCTCTGGGTCTGGGTTTGAGTTTGGGTCTGGGCCAGAGAGGCAGAGAGCCGGGATCGGAGGCGAGGAGAGGAGGCGAGGCAGGCGCTGCAAACTCGCAAAATCCCCGCCAAGCGGGGCCCCAACCCTGATTGGTCACGCGAGAGAGAGAGAGAGAGAGATGGAGGGATGGAGAAAGGGAGGGATGGAGGGCTGAGCGGTTCTGCTCCGACCCAGAGCTTCGCTTACCTTTCACCGAGCGCGGCTTGGCTTGCTTCCTTCTGGACATCTCCAGCTCCGAGAGGCTTTGCTTTTTCTTCCT